TACAAGCAATATGATTCAATATGGGATATTCCGAAGTGTATATATAGTCTCTAATTGTGTATAATTACTAAAATTTCATATGGAATATGAAGATATTTTTTAAATTTTAAATCAACAATCCAGTTTGTAAGTTCCAATATCAACGATTCAATAGTCCCGTGAATCAATACCAACGAGTCCCGGGTCGATGGATATTCGCTCCCACGATCTCTTTGCTCTCAAGTTCCACGACCCAGCGGTATCGGATCGCTAGAACCAGTACTTGTTGGCGTCAAGTTTCATGACTCGCGAATCGTTCTTATCGCTTCGTGTGACCCGAGTCATCGGGACTTACTGATGTCGACTCCAACGACTCGGAACACCTTGATTTTTTCTTCCACAAAACCAAAATCAATACTTTTTCGTTATGTTAACCAGATGTTGCAAATTTTAATAATACGATTTGCTTTAATTATTATTAATTTAACTATTAGTGCCTTTTTAAACATTTATAATATCTAATATCGGAAGATATAATGGGTAAGTGGAATATATGTACATGTATGTACGTATACCATTGTAAAAAGAAGAATTTATATCAAAACACGAAACACTATTTAATTTCTAATATTTAATATGAAGATGAAGCGATTGTTGGAAAAATATGTACATATGTCAGTAATAACTTTCTTAAATTGCTTTAAAATCAGATAAATATCCTGAGATGAAATGGTGTTCGAGTCTTGAGAAATCCTAACAGGATTACCTCTCGCCTACTTCAGTTAACGTTATCTACTTACCAGTTTTAATACCTTATCCATCTAATATAAAATGTTGGAATATACATGACTTGTATTCGACAACCTTCAATAAAATACATAAAGTTAAGGTTTAAATCAAACTTTATTGTTAGTACAATTTATTTTTATTCAACAGAAAACCATAATTCGTGCTGTAAGTATGGCTTTATATTATAAATTAAGAGGTTAAGACACTTCGAAATGAATACAACAAATATGCAAAATTATGCCTCTATTATTGTCCACAATTCTTCTCTTATACTTTATATATAATACTTTCAAGTTTAATTATCACAAAGAATGAAAAGAATTCCATCCTATTATTTCTTCAAATACTGGAATGAAAAGACAAAATGCAATTAGCATTCTTTTTTCGCATACGTAAAAATTATTAAGGACTTAAAATGCGAACGTAAGAATGCAATTTGAAATATAAATGATATTATTTCACAGTGTCGTTTATATAACTCACTGTGTAACATTTTATTAAACAACTCCAAAGAAATGAATTTTATTACTTTGCTCATATATATAGAACTTTTGAAAAAATTGCAATGTATACATATGAAAGCCTCAAACACTACTGAAAAAGTTCATCTACCTATTCGTTGTCGATACAAGTGAAGAATTCATAACAAAGCGACTCATGTCAGCTTTTTTTACTTTTTAGATAATAACGCATTCTAGTAATAAAAACCAGACTCGCAACATCACAAAAATTAATTGACTTCTTTTTCAATGTAATTACAGATATATCTATAAGAATTATATAATATAATAAATATTTCGTTTAAAGAAATTTTAATGTATGAGTAGAAATTAAAGATGCTAGAGTATTTTTTTGTTCTTCTAGAGAAAGACAAAGATCATCTTTAGATCATGTACACAAATAGATCATGTTTGTTAAAGCTCTTCAAATATCATAGATACTTTTACAGCTATAATAAACCTTGTTTGAAGTTTCAAATGTTTAATAAAAGAAAGCGATTCAATCACGATGTATGCGTGTATATGCCGACAGTAACGTATTGTCAATCGGATTCTCAGAGCACTAATCGGGCAAACTAATCTAATTCGGTTCGAGTGGTCTGAGTAGATGTCGCATTGCGTGATGGCGTACTCGTTCATCCGGCTTGAAAAGCTTCAGGCTTCCTTCCAGACGAATTCCTCGAGTTGAAGTGGAATATGTAAGAGAGAGGATGCGCGGAGATGCAGGATACAAGAACTGTGGGATCCCACGAGCGGCTGTACGTGCCTTGTAACCAAGATGCTCAGTGCATTTAACCTCCTGTGTGTCTGCATATATGGTACGTTGCTCGTCGATATCACGTCGTCGAGAAGAAATTGATCAGATCTTACGTGACGCAGAAATTATCAATTTCATTCAATTCTACTTGAGTTTCTCGAACGGCGGCGTTTGTTCGCGAGTAAACGTGTTTGAACCGCGGAAGTACGATTAAATCATGCAATAGGCATGAAACGCGGAATCCAATTTTTCACAGCAAAGGAAATCAACAAATCTTGTTTTATTTTTTCTCTCACAAAAATTCTTTTTTTTGTGATTTTTCTTTTGAAAGAAAATGGAAAGATCTTGTTATTTTCTGTTAACACGAAATCTTTTGTTTTCTTTTGATTATCTTTACGAAAAGAATATAAAAACATATCGCTCTCCTTCTTTCAATCTTCTTCTGTTGAGATTTTACAATATGGTTTTTAAAATATTTTATATTAATGTTATTTGTATGCTTCGTTATCTATGTAATAATACTTTAGAACGAGGAATTAATATACATAGATGAAGTATATCCCTATTTCGTTTCTGGAATCTTCGATAATTTAACGTTAACAGTAAATCGATCAGTTATTTTAGTATGAAAAAATATAAAGTAATTTTTAAAAGACTACTAGTAATTATAGAAAACACAGCAATTATATGGAAAAGAAATTCCCAATAGAATATAACATATAACATATAGACAGTCAGCTTTGGCAATTGAAGAAAATAAAGTCCGAAAGCTCAAATTATTTCACATTTTATTCATAATATTTCTTTGATCGACGAAATTCAATTCACTCTCCTAAGTTCACTTCCTGCTACTTTCAGTCACTCGAAAGAACAGAATAATTCGATACTCGTGAAATATCGATTCGAATGACATTGAGGGCAACGTTCGCCACCCGATAAAAAAAACCTATACTTACTCCTTTAACATTGATTGAACGAAACATGCTATCAACGGTTATTGTATTATGGGAATCGAATGGAGAATAGTGCTAGGCAGATGCACTTCGATACCGGAAAGGGAAGCCGTTGTAAAGCTTCCTACGCACAGAAATATAAGCCCGATGTGTGGTATCGATAAAAAGCAGTTTCAGTTGCGTTTACGATTCACTAATTAATGGAGGCCAAAATTGTTGCTCGATGAACCGTTACGTAGCCACCCACTGTTGGCCATATGCCTTCACTAAAGAACCTAATTAGATAATCAGATAGTAAAAATTACAATTGTCTGTTCGGATAAGATGTTGCGTGTTGTCTTTCAAAGCTGCTGTGTCTCTCACGTGGTGTATTCTTATGTTTTTCTTCATATACCGCAAATCATGGTGTGAGAGAATCTGTGCAACCATTTGCCTTTAGTTAGCTATTGTTTTAACACTTTATGATCACACTCGTTGCACGGATAGTACGCTGTGTTTGTTAACTTTGTTAACGGATGTGTTGCAAGTCGTTACATGGAGTAGCATGTTATTCAGTTGATCTCTATTATAACGAAATTCTATATAGTTATGCAATTAACTGCACTCTTACTGCTTAAATCTAACTGGAAAGTGAATTTTAATTATTTAATTTAAAAGTCATAGAGAATGTGGAAATCAGTGAATTCATATTATATGTACGAAAGATCCTCTTATATAAAATGTATAGATATATGTACGAAGAGTTCAAGTAAATCAGTTTTTATTTTATACGAACAACGAACAATAAGTTTATAGGATGCATTTTTGTGTAGAAATTAATACGCATATCACCGTGATCAATACATATATGATTAGTACATCTATATGTAGATTCTACATATTAATAGTTCAATAATTGTTTATTTCAGCTCGTGCTGCATGAATGGTTTTAATATTAAAATAACTATTTCAGAAATAAAGAGAAACAAAACATAACTGATAATACTACTACATTTAAACCCTTATCTTTATCCTCGATGCTTGACAGAAAGGCAGTAAATGTTTTATAATAAATATTATATTTAATAAAATCGTGAATATTAAAAACTTTTAGTAGTAATTAATGACAAAAAGAAAAGAAGATTGAACAAAAGACGTTAAATAAATTAAGTGTTACTGTTACGCAACGTGGGACAATACACACGCCATCCCTTGTTGTCGGGCCTTCTAAGGCCCACGCACCGTCATTCCAACCCTCAACAAACCTAGGAACCCATCCTAAACCGAAACTTCTAACTTAAGTGTTTTGAGACATACTTTTTAAAGTAATCTTCTTTAACGGAAAAAGTCGTCGACCCGGTAAATGTCTTCGATGTATGGATGATCCTTGGAACAGTCCTTAGGTTTATTACGCGTTCGTGCAAATTACTGAGAAAGCAGGTATTTGCCTAACGGGAAAGTTGGATTCTTCCCGTGAACAATGTCACCCACGAGCCACGTGTGTAGGGTCCTTCTCCTATTTTCATTCATTAACGTGAGCTATAACCAATGGGCATCGTGGATCGTTACCCTCACTTTCCTAACGAAAAATGTGAACAACGAATCCGCGTTCGTAGTTCAAAGGGATAGCCCCACACCGAACTTTCCACGAAAACGAAACTTACTCTTTCTCAAGCTCTAGAACAGTCCAATTCTCTTCCTCGGTTCGCATCCGTTAATCACTCTGTATCTTACATAACGTCTTATCCATATTGTACATAAAGTTGTTGGAAATACATATATTTTATATCCTGTTAACGCAGTGCTATATCAAAACAATCACCCGTATTATCTTAACGGAAATCAGGAGATCGATCAACTTATAATCGTAGCGGGAATTTACGACTCCCGTTGATGTGATATCTCGCGAACGCGTTTCCCCGCGACTGATCGAATATACATTGTCCTTCGAGCCGGATTCAGTGTCAATGAAGAGTGAACTCACCAGTGACCATATAGTGACACGTGAATCCACGCAATCTCCCGCCGCCGTTGCATTATCGTCAACAGAAGTAAGTTCTAACAACTTCATTCTCAATTATATAACAAATAATGGCAACCGGAAACGAACTTGCCGTCTTGCGCCGACGCCGAGGCCATTGTACCGGTCACTTTACACGCTTATCAAAAAAACTGGACGAAATCGAACAATCCGACTGTCCGCAAGAGAGCGGGTTAATCCAAATTAAAAATCGTCTGGAAACACATGAGACGGAATTCCGCGCCATTCAAAACGAGATTATAAGTATAGATGAGGAAGAAACCACTCGCGGCTTTGAAATAGCAGACGAGTATGAAAAATTAGAACTCCGAGTAATCAATCAACTAAACAACATACGATTAGCCACGTCGTCGAAATCGACAAACGGCGAATCAGCCGCCGGTCGCGAGTCTGCACCGCTTAAACTACCAGAGATTCGGATACCTACCTTTGATGGCATCCTCGAGAATTGGCATTCATTTTACGACTCCCTCTAGTCAACGATAGATCGGAATAAACAACTGACACCATTCCAAAAATTCTATCATCTCCGATCAGCATTGACTGGAAAGGCCGCGCGAACCATCCAGTCGTTGGACGTCACGGAGTTTAATTACTCTACCGCCATAAACATTCGACGAGACAAGTTTGATTGCCATCGTCAAATATGCGCGCGTCACCGGCATGTACTCCTCTATTATCCCAAGATGGCGAAAGAAACGCCTGAAGCCGTAGAGGACCTTATCGAAATTTTCAAGATAAATTTGAAAGTGTTAGAGAAATTAAGCGATCCGCTGACGTCGAATACCGTGATAGGCGACCTGATCGCCTCAAAGTTACCTCAATCCACCATCCGCCAATGGCATCGCACGTTGCTAAACAAAAGACTGCCCGATTATACCTATTTGATAGACTTCCTCCAAACAAGGACAAACGGCGATCACACGAACGCTCCAACACCAATAATAAAAGGGGATTCCTACCAACACATACATACATACATTCGCCACCACACATCGGATGTTGGCGTGTCCGATATGCCAAGAACAACAGGGAATCAGGGATTGCGAGGTCTTCAAAACACAATTGGCCAGCAAACGTCTTGATATCGCAAAAAAGGGCCTCCCTGTGTACTAATTATTTAGGCAAAGGGCATTCTCACAAACAATGCCCAGCTAGCTCGTGTCGCATATGCAAACAACGACACAATACCTATTTACGTCGAAACAAAGTCCATTCCAGGCGACGAGCATCAAATGGCAGATCTTCGAACAGTCGATCGTCTAGCAGTCATTCATCGAACAGTTGGTCATCGAACAGTCGGTCATCGAGCAGTCGGTCGCCGAGCGGCCGATCTTCCAACGGACAGTCACCACCTGGATCACCAGCACCGCGGTCCTCTCACCATTCGAGACGCCCAACAGAGCATTCCCGGATACCTATCTCATCGTCTTCAAAGGAAAACAAACATTCTCCTAAACGCGAATCTCGGCAATCTCAAAATACATCTCTCGGATCGATGCATCTCTCTCATCGTCCCATCCTCAACAAAAGGCACAATGACCGTGTAAAACGATGACTTCAAACGGGACCGAATCACCAAATACATCTTCACACGACCCACTGTATCATGATCTGTTAGTTACAGCGCAGATCAACATTTTAAATAACAGGACACAACCAATCCGAGGTAGGGCACTACTAGACACCGGCTGTAGTATGAATTTTATCACCGAAAGGTTCGCCAAATCACTCGGCATAAAGCAGAGGAGATGTTTGATCCCAATCGGAGCCCTGGATACATTGACGACGACTTCAAGGCGCTACCTCAGGACCACAATAACTTCCATGAAAAGCACGTATCAACGTAAGTTGACCTTTTTAGTCATACCTACAATAACGTCATTAGTCCCAAATCAACTTGTAGATCGCTCAATGTCCCAAATACCCAAGAACCTCCAACTAGCTGATCCAAGTTTCCACATGCCTGGTCCAATCGATATCTTACTGAACGCGAGACCAACACTGGCATCAGTAAGTATCGTACGAATTAAAATTTATCCAACACATGATCCTTGCTTCTGCAAAAGACTCGATTTGGCTGGGTCATCGGAGGGGGGGGGGGGAAGAGCCCAAC